ACCCTCTTACTCCTTTAGACCTAATACCCCTACCATATTTTTCTCATTATTTTCATAAAGAAGAGGTATACACTAAGGCCAAGAAGTCCAAGAGGAGATGTATTGAAGGAAGCAAAATGAATGAGTTTGTATTGAAAAACCATAGGAGGAGTGAGCCCACTTTTGGGCCTTAGCTTCTAAGATTTTCTTAGCATAGCATTTATTCCTATTTTGTCCTTGTATTTGATTTCCTATTTTACCCTTGTATTTTGGGGTATTTTAGTCTTAGAATTTATTTTACTTGTATTTTCAATTTTACCCTTATATTTTGGAGTATCTTAGTCATAGGATTTATTTTCTTTTGTATTTCCCATTTTACCCTTGTATTATGGGGTGCTTTAGATCATAGGATTTTATTTTTGGGCTAAGGTATTTGATTAGGGTGGGAACAAAAATCTAGACATATTTTTGTGGCTATTGGACCTATTTTTGGTGTAAACTAAAATATCTTGTTGGAGGTACCCAATGTAGTGACCTAGGTATGTACTAGAAAATAAAGAAAACTTAACTAAACAATTACCTAAACAACTTTGTATTGCATAATTTGTTAGATACATATGAGAAAAAGGTGTTAAGAGGAGTCTAGAAAACTCATATAATCTAAGTTTGTCTTGTAGGGAAGTAACCAAGTTAAGTTCAAATAAATTTGAACTTCCCTCAAGATCAAAAATAGAAAATAGGACACCATTAGATGTATCCAACAAATCATACAAATCAAAAGTTGGGTGCTTTATGAAGACAACTAAAGTAGAAAGAGTCTTAAAGAGAGAAGGCTTATCTTCCTTGGGCACCACGAAGGAAGTAGCACAAGAAGTGGGATTAAGACAATGCACAAAACTTAGTAGACAGTTGAGCCCGAACTTGCGGCAACAGCTCGAAGCTGAGATTCTCCAGAATGCAGACCTTTTTGCCTGGTCCAGCGCCGACATGCCAGGTATCGACGCTGACTTCATATGTCACAGGTTAGCAATCCACAAGGAAGCAAAGCCAGTCGCCCAGAGGAAGAGGAAGTTCGGCGGTGAAAGGCGAGAGGCCATCATCACCGAGACACAAAAACTATTGAACGCTGGCTTCATCCGTGAGGTCAGATACACCACATGGCTGGCAAATGTGGTCCTGGTGAAGAAGAGCTCGGGGAAGTGGCGCATGTGCGTCGATTACACCGACTTGAACAAAGCATGTCCCAAAGACTCATACCCCTTGCCGAGCATTGACAGGTTGGTTGACGGACCATCCGGGCACGCCCTCCTCAGTTTCCTCGATGCCTACTCCGGGTACAACCAGATAATGATGTACCCACCTAACGAGGTACATACGTCCTTCATCACCGACCACGCCAACTACTGCTACCGGGTGATGCCCTTCAGCCTCAAAAACGCGAGGGCAACCTACCAACGATTGATGGATAAGGTTTTCCACCAACAGATCAGGAGGAACATGGAAGTCTACGTCGACGACATGGTAGTCAAGACCACTTCAGCGACTGACCATGCTGCCGACCTCGCCGAAGTATTTGCCCAGGTGAGGAAGCACAACATGCGCCTCAACTCGGAGAAGTGCATCTTCGGTGTCTAGGGAGGCAAGTTCCTCGGTTTCATGATTACCAGCAGAGGAATCGAGGCCAACCCCGAAAAGTGTAAAGCCATCATCCAGATGTAAAGTCATTGGAGTCTTAACCTCAAGATCATTCACGGTCCTAAGCAAGGAGCAAGTGAAGGAAACATCAATCTCCTCACCTAGTTGCATCAGAGGCGCTACCAATTGTTGGAAAAAGTGGCTTTGAGCCTTATCTACACCGCCCGCCGGTTGAGGCAATATTTCCAGAGTCACAGGGTAGTTGTCCGAACCGATTTCCCGATCGCAAAGGTCCTCCGGAAATCATAGATTACTGGCCGAATAATGGCATGGTCGGTAGAACTCTTAGAGTTTGACGTGGCTTTTGAGCCAAGAAGTCTCATCAAGTTGCAGCATCTGGCCGACTTTGTCAATGAGCTCACCCCTTCGAGATGTTTTGAAGACGAACCGTGGACCATGCATGTCGATGGGTCTTCCAATGCCCAAGGTAGCAGCGCCGGAATAATACTTGCTAGCCCCTCAGGTATCACAGTCGAACAATCCCTTTGGTTCGGCTTTCGTGCGTCAAATAACCAAGCAGAGTACGAGGCCCTGATAGTTGGTATGAGGTTAGCAAGTGAGATGGGAGTCAAGAAAATCATATGCTGGACCGACTCCAAAATTGTGGCCGAACAGGTCAATGACAATTTCCAGGTCAAAGATTCATACTTGTTACGATACTATCACCTGTTCCAGCAACTAAAGGAACACTTCAATGAAGTTCAGATACGGCATACCCTGCGCAACAACAACGAACGAGCTGACCAACTGGCTCGACTCGCTAGCAACCGAAAACCCGGGCAGTTGCGATCCACTATTCATCTTGAGATTCCCACCCCGAGTGTGACATTCGAATGCATGGCGATAAATGAAGACGCACCCTCATGGATAACCCCCATTCGAAAGTATATCGTTAATGGTGAACTTCCGGCCGACCATATGGAAGCAAAGAAATTACGAACGCAAGAAGCTCGGTATTCAGTGGTGGCCAACGAACTTTACCGGCGAGGATTCTCCACCCCGCTGCTCAAATGCATTGACAATCACCAAGCCGATTATGTCCTGCAAGAAATTCATGAAGGTATATGCGGCTCCCACTCGGTCGGGCGAACCATGGCGGCTAAAGTCTTGCGAGCCGGCTATTATTGGCCGACTCTGAAGGGAGATTGTGCCGAGTTCGTCAAGAAATGCGTGCAATGTCAAAAGCACGGCAACCTCATCCACGCCTCGACCGCCGAGTTACACAGCATTAGCTCTCCGTTGCCATTTTCCTTGTGGGGTATCGACGTACTTGGACCATTCCCCATGGCAAAAGGGCAGGTCAAGTTTCTCCTGGTCATAGTGGATTACTTCACAAAGTGGATCGAGGCCGAGCCGCTTGCCTACATCTTCGCTGCCAACGTCCAGAAGTTCGTTTGGAAGAACATTGTTACCCGTTTCGGCATCCCACACGCCATTGTTTCGGACAACGGCCTTCAGTTCACGAATAAAAAGTTCAACTCCTTCCTCGAAAACCTTGGCATTCGGCACCGGTTCACCTTGGTTGAGCACCCCCAGTCCAATGGGCAAGCTGAGGCGGCCAATAAGGTCATATTGACAGAATTAAAGAAACGGCTAGGTTCAGCAAAAGGAGCATGGGCCGAGGAATTGCCGGAAGTCCTTTGGGCATACCAGTGCACACCACAGTCAACCACCAAGGAGACACCTTTTCTCCTAACATATGGCGACGACGCAATGATCCCGGTCGAAGTAGGGGAACCATCATTTCGGTAGCTGCACTTCCATGAAGAGTCTAACGACAATTCACTCCAAGCCGAACTCGATGTTCTTGACGTAGTGCGAGAAAAGGCGCAGGTTGTGGCCGAAGCTTGTAAACAACGAATGAGCCGACGCTTTAATTCCAACTTAAAGCCGAGGACATTTCATGAAGGCGACCTCGTCTGGAGAGCAACCGGCTCGGCAAGGCGCAACTCCTCTGAAGGAAAGCTCTCGGCCAACTGGGACGGCCCGTTCCGAGTACGGCATGCTCTTCACAATGGAGCTTACAAGCTTGAGGAGCTGTCTGGCAAGGTCATTCCGAGAACATGGAACGCGTCCCACCTGAAGACGTATTATAGCAATGTAAGGCCTAAGCAATGTATATGTATCACGATGCACTCTTTTCCTTGACTGATCTTTTTCTCCCTTATAAGAACGTGAAAAGGGGTTTTTAGTCAGCAAGGTTTTTAACGAGGCATCAATTTATCAATGAATATACATTCCACACTTAAAGTTGTCAAATATTTGCTTTCAAATTTTACAAGTCTTCCCTCCCGAGATCTTTCTCGACCAAGGATGTGACTTACGATAAATTTTACAAGTCTTCCCTCCCGAGATCTCTCTCGGCCAAGGATGTGACTTACGATAAATTTTACAAGTCTTCACTCCCGAGATCTCTTTCGGCCAAGGATGTAACTTATGATAAATTTTACAAGTCTTCCCTCCCGAGATCTCTCTCGGCCAAGGATGTGACTTACGATAAATTTTACAAGTCTTCCCTCCCGAGATCTCTCTCGGCCAAGGATGTGACTTACGATAAATTTTACAAGTCTTCCCTCCCGAGATCTCTCTCGGCCAAGGATGTGGCATACGTTAAATTTTACAAGTCTTCCCTCCCGAGATCTCTCTCGGCCAAGGATGTGACATACGTTAAATTTTACAAGTCCTCCCTCCCGAGATCTCTCTCGGCCAAGGATGCGGCTTACGTTACATTTTACAAGTCTTCCCTCCAGAAAAAGGCAATATATCATTTCACATCAATTTACGACAGCAACTGATTCAAATTCATTAAAAGGGCACTATCGGCCCAAAAAAGTACATTAAAAGGGCACTATCATCCCATCATTACAAATAAGTTAACAAGACCAGCTTAAGACGCCACCTCTGGCTCCCCTTGGATCGGACCATCTTCTGGCACCCCCTTTTCATACGCCGTTTCGTCATTCAGCCCAGCTGGCCGCGCCGGAGCCTCCTCGTCGGCTTGTTGGCCTTGAGGAATGGAAGTCAAGTCCACCAACTTACCTTGGAAAAAGTCTTTTGTCATATCAAGGTGAAAGTTAGGGGGAAGTCGCCAAAAAAGCACGCCTGCCGAGCCGCCTGGGCAAACCCAGCCTGATGCTGAGAGAGGACCTTGTCGCGCGCCTTCTCCCTATAGGCACCAAAAGCAAGCTTCTCAGCGTCCAACTCTTTGGCCAGTATAGTACCTTTCTCCGTCTCATTCTTCAAGGCCAATTCAAGACGTTGGACCTTCAAAGCCAGGTCATCAGCAACTCGCCCCCGGCGATCCAGCTCGGCCTGAAACTTACCATTGGCCGTTTGGGGGTCAGTAAGCGCCGTCAGTGTCTCTTGTAGAGACTTCTTCTGCTCAGCCAATTGCTGATGCAGCCCATCGGCCTCGTAGTTTGGCTCCATCACAATGCTTTGAGCCAAGGCCACCGCCCGAACTTGGAACTTGCAGAAGAAGTTCCATTTCTGAGCCGAACTCATTTGGCTCAAAGCCCCTTGACCAGCCTCGGAGATCAGATCCTGGCTTAAGAAATCCTGAGTGTTGACATGGCTAGCCAAAAAACTTGGTCCTACCAAGCCTTTTGGAGCGGTAGGAGCGGTCGGATTGGTCAACCGTTGTTGTTTGACCCGACGACTCTCTTCCTTGGCCCTCGCTTCTTCGGGCCTTCTTTTTTCGCCTTGGGGCCGGGATGGACCCTTGCCACCCTTCCTAGGTTTGGCTGTCAGTCCCGCCCCACCACCTTGGGGAGCCGACTGGTTTCCACCCGCGTGCACTTCGGTCGGGGTCCTCGTCGCCGTGGCAGCAGCCACCCGGCTTCTGATGAAATGGCGGATGTCCAAATCGTCATCAAAGCTCGCCATGATACCTGCACATCATTAGTCAAAATCAATGATAACGCAAGAATTTAAATAAGTAAGAAAGCTACTATACCAATTAGCTCTTCGGCTACTTCGGCTGATTCGAACAATCGCACCAAAGGTCGGCATGGTAAGGGCCGAGGCATATTCTCTAAAAAATTCAAACTGGCTCTTTCTTCTGGGGACATGCGAGACTTGGACACCGTGTCGTACTTCTGCGGCTTCCGAGTCCAATATAGCGGAAACAATGGTCTCCATTCGGCATAAAAGAAGTATTTGTTTCCCGTTGATGGCCGAATCATAACCTTCATAAATCCTACTTTAAAATTCTTGTAGGAGGTAGTGAATGGTTGTAACAAGAAATCGCTGTGCCGGACCAATGACAACCATTTAGCCTTCTTCGTCGGCCGAGATGAATAATAATATAGAAATAAATGCGGGGTAGGCTTGATGTTAAGTGCCAAGCAAAGCTGTCGGAAACCTTGCATGACCGCCCACGTATTTGGATGAAGTTGGCTCGATGCCACGTTCAAGAGCCGCAGTATACCCACAAAATAGTCATCGAAGGGAAGCGTCACCTTCAAATCTCGAAACATGTAGTCATACACGTAAAAATACTTGTATTTGCACGTTCCCTGGTCCAAATACACGAAGTCCAGGTTTGGCCCTCCATCCCCTCGGCAGGGTTGAAAGAAAACAGGGGAAGGCTCCTCTTCCTCAGGAAAAGTTAAGAGCTTTACAGCCGAAAAGAACAGAGCTATAGAATTCTTATCGATATACCGAGAGTACATGCTGCCGACCTCTTCATGCACCCACGAGAAGCCATGGGTCTCTATAGGGTGAAAACGCTTAGGAGTTGCGCCACCCCTACTCGGGGGATCGTCAGAAGCTATCGCCGATGAAGATTCGCCCTCGCTCTCTTGCCGTTCAGACCCTGCAGCGGACTCTACATTATCCTCCCCGTTGGAGGCTGAGGCCAACATGTAGTCTCGGTCCAACGCATCTTGTGACCCGATGTTAGCAGAGCCTCCTGTGTCCCCAGAAGAGCCGATGTGAACAACATCCATATCTGCCATGATAATGTACCTATAGGTGGAGCTTGGTTGATCTCAATGAAAGAACGCTTGAACGCTACAACTGCACTGTGACTTCAACTCGGAGTAAGTAATAAACGCGTACCTTTCAGGTCCCCACCACACGCCTATTTATAGGCGTTCCTTGCAAGTATATCAAGCGCCACACCCCTCTGCACACCGTTGGATCAGTTAGATCCAATGGTTCATGATGCATAACCCTTCGCATGCGTCACTAATACCCAACGGTTACAACTCTTGGCATTCCATTAGTAGTTATAACCCCTCGCATGCGTCATTAATGCCCAATGGTTACAACCCTTCGCTTCCCATTAGCAGTTGTAACCCTTGGCCTTCCCTCAAAGAGAGTAACCCTCCGTATTTCAAAAACCCGCACACACCCTATGGTCACAACTCCCCATATTTCTCACCAATTCCCACAACCGAAACACCACATTTAACCTTTACGTCGTTTCACTCCTGAAGGCTGGGGGCTTATGTACCGGGAGGACCCTATCGGTCACGTGGACCAACACGTGCCGTTCCGTCAGACACCCACGCGAACTGAACCATGCCTACGTAAACCTGGACGTTAACATCGGCTCGGCATACAGCCGAAGGTCGAGAAGAGTCCGCTATCAATATCGGCTCGGCTGAAGGCCGATATAAACAACACCATGACGCATCTCCACATACTATGTATCGGCTCAGCCAAACGCCGATCGAGTAGGAGAACCGAACGAGTACTTATCGGGCCGGCCAACAGCCGAAGACGTCCAACATCCCAAGCCTTTACCTGTCAGCTCGGCGAGATGCCGAAGGATAAAACGGATTACAGTATTGATCACGATTAACAAGGATAAGCGCATGATTAAGACATAATTAGCTGATTAACGTTGTATTACCTAATTTGGTAAGCTTCAAAAGAGGCCCACTACTAACAAGGCCCATCAGTGGTAGTATAAATAGGTCACTTATATCGAGGTACGTCACTGTTCATTTATTACCCTAGAAAATTGTGCTTGGCCTGACTTGAGCGTTGGAGTGCCTTTTGTAGGTACCTCCCCCCCTTCGAAGTATCTACCTGGAGCTCCTGTTCGGCCCTTCCCCACAGAAGATTACGAGTGTGCCCTCAGACAGGTACACCATAAAAAAAACTTGTAGACCAAATAAACGTGGATGGAATTCCTAAGTGAACACATAATTGAATTCACACTTCATGAACCCTAATGATCCACTTTTCACGTTGAGGCTTGTTCCAAGCTCTTGACTGAAGAAAAATTGATGGAAGAAAAGGAAGAAGCATGCCAAATTTGAATTTAAATTCAAATATGGTGTGGAACCAACCTTCCCCATGTGCTACCATGTGCTATTGCATCTAGGAAATGAGACTATTACATTTTGATGTAATTTGAAAAGCATTTGAAGTTGTATTTGGTGCATACCATGTGTGCCACCCTTGGCCGTTCACATGGAGCATCAAATGCACTTCCAATGGCTCCTAAATTACATTTAAATGTAAGGTCCATTTCCAATTAGGCTTTTATCTTCTCTAGTAGCCCAAATATATGGCTAAATGAAAACTACAATACTTAGCCCAAAATACAAGCCTTAATAAAGCCAAAATCCTACACTATTAGGCCCAAAATACATGGCCCAAACTAAAATATTGGGCTTTAAGTGAGGGTCCAACTTAAGAGAAGCTTAGGCCCACTAACCTCATCACAAGCCTAATCCTCCTACATCTTCCTAACCATGGTGCTAGTGGTAGGTCCCTTTCCTATGCTTCTTCCATCA